GCAAGGTTCTCCATCTTTGTGTTATTGTGTGCGGAAAAATTTCCCAACAGTACCCGTTGACAAAGTCGCCTCCAAGAGAGGTGTCATGTACTAAGTAATATAATATCTACGCTAGCTCATATTTCAAGTATAACTTGTTTCAGTTATCGAAGTAAGAGTTAACAACAAACTCAAGGAGCTGTTTCAGGTGATGGAAAGAATAGGGAGTATTTGCTTTTGTAGCATTTTGAAAGTATAGCTTTTCGACGTTCAAATGAGGCCTAAAAAATACAGACAAATGTAGCCTTTGACAACCAAGTTCTCGCCGACCATCAGCATAATAAATAAAATATGTTAGAAATAGAAAATTTGATATCACTGAGTGACCAAAATAATGCATACTACAGATTTAACAGTTATATCGATCGATTACCAAGAGCAACAATGTCGCCTACTTTAACTACACAAAGATAAGATAAAAATGCAAGTGGTTGCAATTCTAAAATTTGTACATTCTTAGTCCATGTTTCCTTAAAATAATATTTATTGTGAACGACCTTTGTGAATGACCTTTGCTTGAGGTATAAGTTTAGTTTAATATCTTTTCTCCTTTGGAGAAAGGAAACTAAATTAAGTTTCCAGCGGAAAATTTAACGGTACAAAGGTGCATCCCAAATATCCTTTCCTCGAAATTCTCTTCCATGCCAAACATTTTTCGTTGGAATCATCCAGGCGTTATTTCTCCATGTTTTTCAGGATCCTACCAATCGTCCCAACTAATTAATCATCGGGAAAATCATAGGGAAACCCGACCAAACTCAGATGACCGGAAGTGTAACAATATTTCGGAGCGGCACCATACAGACGCCTCCATTACAAAATTTTTTTACTGAAAAGAACGACTTTACATTACCAAAGAAACGAAATTTACCAATTACGACCGGCTTACGACAATTGCGACGTGCAGCTCATAACATCACTGCAAACCAAAGTTTACCATTCAGCTCGGATGAAACGTCAGTTACTCCGGTAAATAAAGGTACTTCTTTGGATTACCCTTACCAGGAGAACTGAGTTGATGCTTCAGCATGGTTACCGTAAGATGGCTCGCAATGTCTTAATCGTCTGGCACATTGGGAATGAAACATAGGGATTAGGGCAAAAGTCTTGCGTTGCAATAATTGAGCTCAAAATCTACCATGCATGCATATTAACATTAGCCTTGATGAACCTCAGTTTTAAGTCACTCTGATCACCAAAAAAACGCACCCTCCTCCCGTCTATAGGAGAGGCTTTTTCAATAATGACATTTCGTTTCGCTCCAGTGCGAAGGTTTCGTTACACAATACCATTACGCTGGTTTCCTTCTGTGGTTTCGAAACGCCTTTCGAGTGTTCAAAACAGTCGCGCAATTAACATGCCCTGCGTAATGTTTCTATTCAGATGCAAATTGCTAAAGAATAAGTACAGTAGATTCACGATATGACTTGACAAACATTGAAAGGACCCACGCCACTCGAGGAAGTGAATTTCAAAATGGTGTCTGCTTACAGCGCTCGCGGTCTAGATAGAGATCAAACTGCGCAGATTTTCCTCATATCCTTATTTCTCTCATCCCAAGCCTATGCAAGTCTATTAATTGAACCCACTTTCATAGGACAAAAGCTTCGGACATTCGCGAAGGAGGCCCTCGGTGTTGACGAGATGCAGGTATGTG